AAGAAGCAAATTAATGTTAAGAACAGGGAGGTACACTAAGGAAGTATTGAATAATTTACTTCTTCATGTGGTCTGTCTTCACAGTTTTTTGTGTATTTGCATTATAGTCCCTTAAATGGACCAGAGCCTGATACTCAAACAATATTCATATGTAAACTGCTGAGTTTTCCTAATTTCTTTAGAGTGATAGAGCTTAGATCTGCTTCATATTAACCACAAAGCCATTTGTTCTGTTTTTATATTTAAAAGTTTGGATATATTGATTTTTCTTTCTTTTTTTTTTAATCTGGAGATCTTTTATAATTGATGTGTAGATCATCAATTTAAAACTTGCATATAATTACTGAAGTATGAATGTTTTGTTCTTAGGATAAATGAAGTTCTTTAGGGAGCAAGAAGTAGAATTAGATTAGTGTACTTTATTTGAAGTTGAAGATAGAATTATTCTGCAGAAAGACTGGAAGAACAGATTTGAAGAAACGTAGGAATTGCTTGGAGAAACTGCTGTAAAATTCAGGGATTGATAGATTGCTTGTGTGCCTGGTAATGACCTGGAAGGCAGCAGTATACTAAGCAAAAAAGTTTAATTGTGTCATTCTATTCAAGAAAACACAAGATTAGAATAGTTCTAGTGATTTTTGAGACTCCACTTTTTAAAATCATTATGTATGAAATATAAACTGGAAATGTACATTGTCATAGTCATCTTTTATTTAACTACAGAAAGACTTCACAAGCCATTAGCTATAATTTGTTAGTTTGATAGAAAGGAATAAAATGCTAACATTAAAATGACAACCAGAGAGTTAAACTCTAACTAAAATTTGGGTGTATTTTTGAATGCTAATTGGAAGAACTGGTATGACCAGTGGAGAATAAAACACATTTCCTTTATTCTTATTCATAGTTGTGCCCAGTTATTAGGAAATATAATTGGTTCTCATTTCACAGCCTCCTCAGCTCGATAGGAGAAAGGTAGAACAGACTGCTTACTGGAATGGAATGAGAAATACTTAACTTCTAATGAAAGTAAAAATATTAGGTTTAGGCCAAAATTCTGAGAAGTCTAGAAAAGCCCATACGATCTGAATAGAATTGACAACAGCCATAAAGGGCAGGTATTAATTATGTGCAGCCCGTCATTCAAAGCTGGTATTTCCCCACTGGAAAATATACATATGGAAAAGGTACGTATAATGTTCCAGGCAAAAGAGGATACACTAGAATGAAAACACACCATTATTAGTAAATTAATGTTTATATTTTGAAGTGATTTTCTGGCTTGAGAATCTGAGAGTAGATTGGCTAGATTAATCAGAAAATACATTGCACATTTTACTTTCTATAGTAAGCTGGTGTAATCAGTCAAGAGATAGTACCAAATATGAGAGATGTCCAAAATGTCTTTCTTTGTCTTTTGTCACTTTCATTTCAGAGTAAAGATAGTGATCTATTATAGAATTGTTATAGTTTATTGTCATTATTCAGAGAAGCAGTTTCAATTCATCCTTGAAGGGTGGCTGTATGAGGAATGATTATGTTCTTTTTATTTTTAAAATATGAAAATTTTTGAGTTCTTGATGTGGTAATTTGGAAAATAATACTTAATAAATACAAAAGTTTCATAATATAGTCCTTAATGTCAGAAATAATGGAAATGTGAAGGTCTCGTAGGTGAGAGATTATAATAGGAGATAGAAGCGTAAAATAAATATGAATTGTGACATGGTAACTAGAACCAAGGTATAAAAATATTGAAGCGAGATTTTGTTTTGGAAGACTTGATTTAGTGTTTGTCATAAATTAGAATCTGGATGTAGAGTCACTGAAGTCCATTTATTTTGCTGCTTTGGAATGGAACTCTATTTGCTATAAATTTAATATGTATGTGATTATGAATAATTCTGTCTCATAACACCAGCCTTGAACTTTTTGACGGAAGCAATATATTGGGACTTTTTTAAAGCTGTTTTTTTCAGTCAGGGGCTCACCTCTTATCATCCTGCTATTAGAAGGTAATTTTTTTTTCAAACCCCCTTTGTCACTGTGGCTTAAAAAAATACTGAGGCAGGGGCCTGCTTAACATTGGGAAGGCAAATGTTTTTATTTGTTTTCTAAATGAAGCCATGAAAAAAATGCAAAAGGCACATACAACATAATGTAGGGAATTAGAAATCTCATTTTATTGTTTCCAAATGTTGTTAGTTTGTCAAGCGTTGAGAACTTTTTAAGAATTCTTCCAACTCAGTGTAGGCTTGTTAGGGGTTCGGGTGTGGAGATGCATCACTAATGTCAAGTTTGCCTGTGTGTGTTGTGCTTTCCCTAAATGCACTTACCCGAATTCTAATTCACGTCACAATTTAGTACTCTGGTGTTGCACAGACAATAACGCACTGAGGTTGTGCACGGTTGTTTGCATTCTTTTCTACCCATTCAGTCTCTTAATGTGTCTTTTTTAGTCCATGAGGACTTATTTCACTAAAGAAAAAAATGCAGAGTTTTGTAAGCCGTGTTACAGTCATGGTTTGCATTTCACCATGGAAATGCTTGGAAATTAAATGAAACCATTGCTGTGAAAGTTCTCAAGAGGCATAAAGCACAAGAATTGGCAGCCTGTGTTCACCAGTCTCTTCTGAGATAACTGTGTTTTAATAGTAAATCAGGGGTTAATAAGAAATAAGTGACTTATTAATAATAAGTTAATTATTAATAAATAATAAATAAGGATTTATCAGGAGTTAGGAAGTCATTGTGGCTATTTTTACTCCATTATTTTCAAGATATAATGCACTTCATGATTACTTGTTTTCTACTACATTCAAAATATTCAGTGTTGGTACTAAAAGTGGTTTCTCAATACAGGAGTTCTTTAAGCCTAAGGTAGGGAAAGGGCTTATTGGGATATTTGACTGAAGATATGAGAAATGGTCACATGGACTTGAGATGTGTGATATGCTGTGTTTGAATTTCTGGGTGAAGAGCCAGTGATTAACTGATGATCTGTATTTGTAAGGATCATCAATTAATGATGAGAGGTGGTGCCATGCAGTAGAGTATAGCCTTGAGATTTAGACATTAAGAATTCAGATCCCTTAATCAATGGCTAGTTTTCTCATTGATGAAATGGGCATGTTGACTCAGAGTTTGGTTTGGGCTCTACCATTGTTGGGTATAAGAAGTGATAATTCTATTTTTCTGTCCTTAGAGTTTGGGGTCCACTGAGAGAGAGGCAAAAAGTCAGATGGAGATCAAAGTAACAGTTTTAATGCTGGTGGGTTTTTTTGTATCGGAGAATGTGACTTAGATCTGTGGCCCTCTACAGTTAGGCTTCTCAGAATCACTGCATATTTAGATTTTGGATTTTTTTTTTTTTTTTTTGAGGAGGGTACATGTATATAAAACAAACACACGTACCTGAATTGCTTCCTCATACCCAGTGGGCCCTGATGGCAGGACCAGACAGAGGTAGGCCTGCTCTCTGCCTTTGAAAGGCAGGTGCATTTATGCCTAGCACAGGAAGTGCTGAGAGGAAAATGCAAGTTCCCTAAGGCAGGCAGTTCTTAAGAGAAAATAAGGAAGAAGCTGAGGCAGGTACATATGCTTGGCGGAGAGTGGACAGAAGCTTCCCTCCAAATGCTTCAGAGATGGAACTCCTTTACCATGAAGCTATAGGAACTCTCCGCTTGAAGTCACAGTAAATTATTAGTTTACTTTCCCAAAGGACATAGTTAACCTCCTTTAACATTAGTGTTCAGTTCCTTTGCTTTTAACCCTAAAACGTCAATGGGAAAAGAAGAAGCCCTTTTAAGTACTCTTCCTCATTTGAAATATGTTACATGTGCTATAGTGTTTTGCTTTTTTGGGTCAGAGTTGAATAATCTGAGGATAGAATAGGTTCTTTGGAAGGTTTCAGGGAATGTTATTTCTTACCATGGCTACCGTTTATAGCTGGAATATGCTGTTAACTGTTTTATTAGTATAAACTTTATACAAATTTAATGTACCAGCTGTGTGCTCTCTGAGTGTGGTCCTGGACACTGGGCAACTATTGGAAACACACATCTGCACAAATATAGAGAGTGTGTCCTTTTGGATATGTAAGCAGAAAGTAGCTGTGCTTCACTGAGCCATGTCCCTTTTGAGATCCCTAGTTCAATTGAGGTGGGGCACACAATCTGAGGTCAGTTTAATCATAAAGGTTCGCTTGCCTGGTCATCTTTGACAAGGCAAATCTTTCCTTTAATGCTTACCAGCAAGAACCTTTGATTCTTGAATAGTGTGATAGAGGAAAATAAAAAAATGCAATCAATTTCTTAAAGTCTAATCTTGATTACTTTGATGTAGGTTATCAGAACCCTGGTTTGGTTTTGTTTTTCTTATTTGTCTCTTTCTTTGGTCACTTTACATGTGTGCGTGTGTTGTAGTGACAAACATGAAGGAGGAGGAGATGAAACATAAATCAACTTTTTTTTTTGTTTTTTAATTTTGCAAGCATCTGGCTTGAAAATACACAGAGAGGACTGGGAAACTATGAAAAATGAATTGAAATTATTACACAAAAGAGTTTTATTGTAAGAAAAATATGAGAATTTTATCTTTCCATGCTATTTACTGGACCTTAATTTGACCACTTGGGAGTCTTTTTGATTTTGGAATATTTTCCTTTTCAAATTGAATTTGACTTTAGTGTATTTGACCTTTTTATTGATGCCTCATGAGGTGCATTCTTTTTTTGTGGCTAATCTTTCTTTTTTAAAAAATTTTTTTAATGTTTATTTATTTTTGAGAGAGAGAGAGACAGAGCACGAGTGGGGGAGGAGCAGAGCCAGTGAGGGAGACACAGAATCTGAAACAGGCTCCAGGCTCTGAGCTGTCAACACAGAGCCCGACACGGGGCTCGAACTCCAGAATGGCGAGATCATGACCTGAGCTGAAGTTGGACGCTTAACCGACTGAGCCACCCAGGCACTCCATCTAATCTTCCTTTTTTTAAATTCCAGCTGATCCCATTAAGATACTGATGCCATCACTGTCTCCTACGATGGAAGAAGGAAACATCGTGAAATGGCTAAAAAAGGAAGGTGAGCAAGTACGCTACTAATGCCTTGTGTTATTTCATCATTTGGGGTTCTTTTCCAATCAGTTCTATTATACAACACATGAAATAAACCATGTCCTCTGCTCATTAATTTAAGTTTGTTTAGATAAAATTTTCCCATGGCAATGTATAATGTAGCAAAGGTTTTCTGAGTTCAGCCCATATCTTTTCACCAGCAGAGAATGGTAAAATATTTTGAGGCTTTTGTTGTGTTTTAGTCCTTATATTTAGCTTTTAGTTTCAGCCTCATAAGTTTGTTGATCCCCTTATGTTAATCTGTGGCTTTATGATGATTCTGTGTATGTGTGTGTTTTTCCTGAAGCTAACCAAGTTGATTATAAATGTCATTGACAAGAACAAATAAGTAAGGATAATAAAGAAGGCTCTCAAAAGAAGAGCAGTGGAGGAGTCTAGCCCTGCTAGATAGTAAATGTACTGTTATGCCCCTATTCTTCAGGGACACAGGAACAATTACTGTGATGGCATTTGGAGAAGGAGACTTTATTTTTCTGGTGGTGGCTTTCTGTTCCTTTTTTTTTTTTTTTTTGACCCTCTGGCCGCTCTGCAACGGTAGAGTACTCTGCCCCCGTGCAGGTATTGACTTGGGGACAGCTTCTTTCCGTCCCCTATGTAGCCATCTTTCCCTGTGCTTTACTCGGTCTGCAATACGCTAAACTTTTGTGTAGGAAAGAGGGTATATCTCCAGTCCCTATTAGAGGTTGTTAGAGAAATAGACCAGATGAGTTCCCGTAGCCATTACTGTGCTTCAGCTTGAGAAATAGTGAACCAAGTGTTAAAAACAGAGAGGAGCAGAGTGGACGACATGGCTTGGGATGCTGTATCTGATTCTGGAGACTGGCCCTGGCAAGGACTTCTGGGATGTCGGTATGTGACTCTGTGGGCACAGATGTCATCCAGGCAAATCCAGTGTGTGCTTATAAGATAGCACGGAGAGAGTTCAGGTGGTAGGCAGGAGCTCAGAGTATGACAGTGATGCTATGATTCCAGGAGATAAAGCCACCCCCGGCATCGCTTTTGCCAGTGATGACAGTTAAGGATCTTGGGGAGAAAGCTACAAGTATTTACTTCTGAAATATAGCCAAATGAGCTTGAGAGTTTGAGAGAAGGCCCCAGTTCTTTGAGGGAGACTAAGAGTGCCAGGAAAGGTAGATAGGTTACAGAATGGACGGCACGGCACAAGCTTGGGACTATGGTTTGGGCCAATATGGAGGCTAAGGAGGTGTGGTACCTTGAGGCTATCCAGATGACCATAACTGGTCCTGGCTGTGCTAGGTACCACATCTGGTTGGAAGTGTTACCTAACTCCGTTCCTTAGTGGGTAATATGTCTGCATTTTGATATTTCTCCTTTCTGTGTTACGACTAGCATAGTAATTGGAACACACCTGGCAGCACAGTAAGTGGTTGATCAGTAAGTATATTAACAGAGGGAAGAGTAAGCCAAAAGCAGGCACTGTGACAGGGATCAGAGAGAGCTTTGCAGATGAGGTGCTATTTGCCTTGGTCCTTGTAGAATACAGGGGTTTTATTTGGGGGGAAAAAAAAAAAAAAGGTGAGAAAGGACCTGGGTAATGTAAATGATTTGGCAAAACCTTGGAAGTGAGATATCCTGACATGTATTTTGGCAACAGCAGGTAGTTCAGGCTGCATTGAGGGCGCTGTGTGCGTGACGTTAGATAGGTTATAGGAAGGGACGTCAATGCTAGTCGTCAGTTTGTCAGTCTGTGAGGGTCCTTATCCTAAAGCCAAGATACCCACACTTACAGGTTTTTTGTTTTTATTTTTGTTTTTTTATAGGAAGTGGTTTCTGTGTGCTTTCTTGAGCCTTGTTAGTAGCATTATACTGAACAGATCATGTCCTCACAGCGCTCAGGCATCAAGAGCAAACCACAGGTGATTTAATTAGTCCTCTTTGCCTGCTCACATTTGAAAAGTCCACCATGAGGACTTTCAGTCACTATGACCATCTAAGCAGATGGGGTAAGGCTTCTGCTCACTACTGGATAGAAAACTATAAAACCAATTTCTTAATGGTAAATAATGCTGAAATACATGAAGAGGGAATCCTCAGATGCTAGCAGCATCCATAGTGGTGAGTGAGAGTTGAAGCCATGTGCCCCACTGCCTGAGCTGGAAGAAGAATAAATGAGAGTGGGAACAGGTGTTTTTGAGTGGGGAAGAGGAAAGGAAGGGAAATCAAGAATTAGGTTTAGGCTTGGATGTGGTAACTTTGAGGTGCTTATTAGACATTCAAGCAAAGATGTCGAATAGATGGTTGTAGGATTTGAAGTTCGTGAGTGAAGTCATCAGCCTATGGATGGAATTTAATGCCATACGATAACAGGCAAATTCCTTTGTTTGACTCGATACGGAATAAGAATGCCTACTCCCTTGAAAGTTTGCTTTCAGAGGCCTGTCCTCATGAGGCTTTGAGGTTCACATTATTGTACTTGGCATTTTCTGGGAACTCACAGGCAGAGGTAAAGTGGTTCTGGGCTGATAATCTTCCTGGCTTACCTGGCAGAAGCCATTATTCTGGAAGGACGCAACCTCCAGTCCAAGCCAGACAAGATTTCCAGTCCCACTTACGAAGAGTTCACACTCTCAAATTTCATGTTGTACATGGAAGCAGTCTTTTAGGAGCGAGGGTCATGAGGCATAACAAATCTCAGAACTAGATCTCCAAGGACTTCAGTTAATTGGAATTATTAGACACATAAAAATGTATGTTCGAAATGACTAAACATGTAAGAGAAGGAGTTGAAAATATGAAAAGAGACACTGCAGAAAGTTTAGGCAGATTTGAAAAGGACAAACAGAACTTCTAAGAATGAAAAATACTGTCTCTAACATTAAAAAAGAAAAACTCCAGGTTGGGTTCAAGTGTGACTGAGCAAAGAATTACTGAACAGAAGTCTAGCCTGAGAAAATTAGCTTACATGCAGCTCAGAGACATAAAGCAGTAGAAAATATGAACAAGACATTGATGTGGACTATAAGATGAAAATCATCCAGTAATCCAATAGTAGAAATTCTAGGAGAAAAAAACAGAGAATGAGAAAAAGGTAATTTCAAGGCAAACGTGGCTGAGAATTTTCTAGAATTTGAGAAGGACATATATCACTAAATGCAAGAGCCAATACTTCATGAGGAAGCACTCTGAGCAATTGGCTCTGCATGGCTGCTCTCTTTTAAAATAATTATCAGTATCTAAGAAAGTTTCACCTTTATAAATAATGTAATCAATTGGAATCTATTTTTAGGTTTCTTGTTCCTGATGAATTACAGAGCTTTGGCTATTTTCACATTCAGTATGACAGAGTGTTGGTGTCATTACATAATGATTCAGACACAGAACAGCCTTTTAGGGTTATTATAAAAAGATTAAATTTCTTCACATTTTGAGGCAAGTAGATAAGAAGGATTCTTTGGAGCACATTTATCTTTCAGACTTCTAGCTCACTGGCAATCTGATAAGTTCTTCACATCCATTAGAATGTGGAGAGTATGATGAAGAGCCAGGAGACATATGGTCTCATCATTCTGTTCTTTTTTCCTTTTGATTCTACAATGTGCCGTTTTCACAGAGGACGAGCCAGAATATACTTTAAACTTTGGGAGCATTTGCCTCAAGTTTGCTCTTAAAATGGTGTCCTGCCAACTGAAGAGAAATGTTTGTTTACTAATAGACTATAAATAATTGCGAGTAATCTTAATCTTTGGTCCAAAGATTCGGTAATTCACTGTCTTCTTTTTTTTAAGTTCATGTTTATGATTTAATTCTGATCTTTTGAGCATAACGTAAACTTCATTGTACATTTATGTACTATACACGTGTGACTGTATTTCTAAGTATGTTTGGTGCTTCATACATTTATGATAACTTGGTTCAGTCATTCTGTATTAAAAACATATTCATGGGTTCAACTTGATACCATTTTTTATTAGCTGTGTTTTAAAAAAGATTTATCTTGAGATCTTTTTAATGCATGGTCAGTGTTATTTAAAACAATGAGTTTAGATCTTCAAACATGAAGAGGACTGTATGTTTTTTCATGGAAAAGAATAGTGTGTTATCTAATTATAAATCTGGTTTATTTTTAAGCAGAGACTAATGATCTGATAACCTTTAATGGATAGTAGTTCGGTCTTACAAACCTTTCATGTTTCTTGAAAATCTGAGACTGTAATTCACATCTATTATTACTAATGTCATTAGGGTATGTGTGAAGGGTATGTGGGGGGGTGGGTTTTAAGCCAAGGTAATAAGGGTGCAGTGAAAAGAACTCAGGACAGTTTGTCCTTTGGGGTTCTCAACTCTGCCATGAAACATCTGGGGGCGAGGTGAATGAGTTGAAATCTAAGGAGTATCTCTAGCTTTAGAATTCTGTAACTCAGTTTCATTTCGTTTTGTTGATGTCTTGGAAATAGGCAAAAAACCATACATTTTTCCCATTATTGTTGATCTAATGAATGTTAGCAAAGTGGTTTTATAATTAGCATTAGAATACTTAATTTTAGTCCGGAATTAAGTAAAGAGTATGCATTATAAAATTGGTAGAGAAGACACATGAAAGTGATAGGTAACATGTACAACGTCAGAATCTCTTGAAAGGTGAACCGAGCTGTAATTCTACATCTTTTTTACAAGTTTGTTACTTAGAAAAATGTGCTTCAGATAGTTTCAGTTTCATTAACATGGATATAGCTTACTTTTTTTCATCAATTGAAATCAAATCTGTTAGAATAACAAAAGGAAGAAAATATTCTCATTCCCCCCTTTTGTGAGAGCATATTTGAGGATGTGAAAAACATTGTTTTCTTTCTTGAGATATTTCAGAGCATGAAGTATCTCACGAAACACTGGAACAAAACTCAGTTGAGGTAGTAGCATGAAGTACTTAGCCACAGTGTGTGGAACATAGCGCATGCCTCATCAGCGATGTTCATTTACTGCTGCTGC